AATAATTCAATTCAGTTGTTTATTTTTCATGTTGCCATCTGTTTTCAGAATAATGGATCCATGTTATTAATTCTTCTAAAATGTAAGCAGCTGTCAATATCTCCTTATAAACCAAAATAGAGCTCATCAAAATATTAATGTGAGCTAATGAACATAAATTGTATAGACATCATATAAAAATACATGTCAATAAGTAATTAAAAAATGAATATATATCTGACGAAATCATAGAACGGAACAGTCATCTTCAAGTAAATAAGGGCACTATTGAAGGATCAATACATGAAAGCTCCTACCTTAGGGGGCCCTTCTGAAGAACCGAGACTGTCTTCATCAATTAAAGGTTGTGTGTCTTTCTTTATCTTTTCGTACTTGGAATTAATGCTATACTTCATCATTCATGAGCTAAAAGAGGCACTTCTTTCAAAAAACATTCCCTTCACGGGAAAAAGCCGACCGCATCTTACTACTTTGATACTAACAGCTGATCAATCTAGACAATACTGTGGAGCGCAAGCGTACTAATCCAGATACCAAAAGCCGCCCCAAATTTTGAATCGTGCTATATCAAAATATTTATGTCCATTTTTTGATAAAGATGCCTCGACTGTTTATTCATTTATTATCTTTCTATATTAAATTTTAGTCTAATTTGTCTACTTGATGTAATTTTGACGTTTTGAAGGTTAAAGTTCTTTTGACATCCATTGCCTTTAAAGAAATCCAAATTTTAAATTTAAATGCCTATATTGCTTTGTATTTATAAAGATTAAAATAATATATAATTATAGTGTGATCAGTCTTGATTTAACTCAATTTTCGCATATTGAATATATGTATAATTTAATTAAATCGATTAATCTCAATTCTGTAATTATTTGATTTTGACATTTAGTAAGTTCCTACCAATCTGTCGCTAATGTTTAAACTTAAAGAGTTTTAAAATAAAAGTTTGTTGCAATCTCGATTCCCATTTGCGAAATTATTGAATCGTTGTCGAACCTTGCCATTTTCTCTTTAAATCAAAGAAAAACGGTCACTTAGTGACATTTATGACTTCCGACGAAAACACCGGCTAGTAGTTGTTCTAAACCTGATTGTTGGCCAAATTATCTGATTTTGGTTAGACGCCCATTGTTTTAAGGTAAGTGCGAATTTAAAATAATAGTAACTTATATATTATGTACTTTAATTACACGAAAGTTAAACAAATTAAATTAAAAGAACTATGGAGCCGGGCCATTTGATTTGACCAAGTTTTCTTTTGTTTGAAACCTTTGAAAGAGGTTCTAGTCATTACCTCTACTGTTAAATAATATTTGTGTCACTTATTTCTGATAGTGTTGTGTGGTTGTGTATCCATCTATCTAACCAGTATTATAAACCAGTGATTTTCTTATTCTTACATACCTTCTGCATTGTTAGGTACACTTGCATAATTTATTTCAAGATTATTTAGAATCTCAGTTCAGGTAATGTAAAAGTCAACTGTCATTCATTACTTTTATTATTTTGATTTTTTTCTACTTGTCAATAACTTGTAGAAAGTAATATTAAGTTGAACATGAGTTACAAGATGTGATACTGCCAGCTTAGTGTTATTGTTATTAATTGTATTATGTTAAGGATGTATCTCGTCAACGTGTGACTTTATGAAATGATTATTCAAAATGCTATTTTATTAGGTAATATAATTTATAAACTGCTGTATACAACTATCGGATTTTCAATTTGTATTCCGTTTATTATGTTTAGATAAATATTCTAAGAATGTTAATAAACATAGTGGTATAACTGTTATTATTTGTTGTTCTACAATTACTCTTAATGTCCATATTATCTAATGCAGTTTAAGTTAGTTTTTCAGTTCGATGGACCTTATATACTTTTATTTATAATTTAAGACAACCTTGTTTGAATTTACATCTCAATTCTTAAGGATTTTATTTAACTTACTTGTGTAATTTCATTTATACTCATAAGTTACTGCTTGACTTCTTTTTATGCCATTAGTTATTCTGCCTTTTAATTTCATTATTTAACTTTCGAAGCCTGCTATAAATTTTGTATATAGAATGTCAAGAAGAATAATAGTAATAGGTTGGTTTCTTACCAAGCTTTAAGGATGGTGCGTTGTATTTTCTGCTTGTTGTTTTTTTTTTTTTTTTTTTGTTAAGGAAAAAACATAACAATTTTCACTTCAAATTTAAAATCATGATTCTATCAATATATATGAAGATATGTTTATAGTGAAAAAGTCAATTTTCAATGTAGGGGTTCAATTTAAAAGAATTACGTTCATTTTTTTTTTATAGTTCAACTTAAACATTTTTTAATTATTGTGTGAAGGATTTGATATAAACATAATTTGGAAAGTTGATCAAATTCGTCTTTAAAAATACAGATGTCCTTTTTGAAGCAAACATAATTATTGATGTCCTTTTTTGACACAAATGACTCCTCATAGTTCGATTCATAATTAACCTAAAATCAGTCTTAACTTACATATGTTTTTAAAATATAATAGAAAAAAACACTAGATCTATATCAAAATCTTCATTTGCAAACATTATCTGATAAAATACTTTCCTGGGATTCTTGGCCAGGAGTCTCTGTCACGTTTTTGTGCCTTTCTAATATTCTCCTTCCTATTTTTCTCATAATGGTTTTTTAATAACATTTCTACACAATAAAGTTTTTCTTTTTTGACTGGGAAGATCAGTTGAGGTCTGCAGTTTGACCTACAGATTGGACTCTCCGCTCCAATATCCATGTTGTAAGCCTGTTCTCTTCTGGCTACTACATTTCCCATCCTAGTTTTCTGAAAAAATATTTGTGGATTTGGATAGGTTGGCTTCTCCATAAATGAAGTAAAGCTTCTGTCAATATTTTTTATCAGTATCTTATGTTTCTGAACTGAGGAATTCTTTGTTTATTCATCTTCTCATTAGCTACCATTCATTTAGAAATTTAACAGGCCTTCAACTTTCATTTTTTAACTTAAATTTAGGGGATCTGCTTTTCATTTCGGTTTAATAAATACAGGTGTTCTATATATAAAAAAAATTCAACCAATGTTGAGAAAATATCATATGAAATATAAAAGGAGTAAAAAATAAATATATAAAATAATAAAAACTATGAACTATGAATAAAGTTTGATTTGAAGTAAGAAGAATTTGGTTTATACCTAATTTTTCTAAATTAATCCATAAATTTTCAAAAGTTTAGTAATTTACTAGTATTTATTAAACTTTTTTTCATCAATAATACGTATCTATCAAACTTAAATTAAAGAACTATAATAGGGTCATAACACAAGCTGAATTTACACTTCAACCTATATGATATAAATGGTAAAATGTAATTTTCTATACAAATATAAAGTGGTTTAATTCAATTTTTGTTTCTATTTAATCAAGTTTATATAAATGTTCATGGATTTAGACTATAAATTATTTAATGAATGACAAATATTTGACTTATTTGGGATTCGACCTCATTTCTTTAGTTGAAGTAAAATTCCTTGCAACAATTTTAAAATCAAACAATCTTTTTGAGCAAAATCATGTATGGGACCGATGGAGGTTAATCTACAATGCTTAAAGAGAAATTAGAAATTTGAAGGAAAATTTAAACTAAAAATCAGGGAGTACGCTATGTCTTGTAAGAACTATAGGGATTTTTTGGCTAGAAAAAAGTTGGCTTGTTTCAAATACGTTACACTGCTAATTTAAGTGTTTGATACATTTTATTTATTTAATGTTTTCATTATCTATAAAATTAAATAGTGGTTGTTTGCTATCATTTTTTAGCTTACAAATTCAATTGTATATAGGTAATTGGCCATTGGACTTTATTTCTTCTATTCATATATTGTTAACATCTGTACAACTTCTTTTAAAAAAAAATTGTGAATATTTATTATACTTTCTACTCTCTATTATGGACAATAATATCTTTAATAATGGACGATACCTTCATTTTAATTATTAGTTCATAACTGAAAGTTAAAAATATACCTTTTTTTTCTGATGTTAGGGTTTCATTTACCATAAGTTTACTTGTAATGCAATATAATTTAGCTTTCCTAAATTATATTATAAATGAAGTTACATCTTTGAAATGAAACCATATATTTTCAAATAATGAACATTTTTTTAAAGTGTTCTTCAATAATTTCTTTATTGTCGCAAAGATATTGTCCTGAAAATCTAAAATGCCGATTCAGAGGAAGTGTCCACTTTGAAGCAGGCAAATACTTGTCCTCAAGGGAGCTCCAGGTGGACCATCTACCTCTCTTTCCCCCAACCATTCCAGGATATTCTACCTACCAGTCAGAAATTTCGGGAACGTGTCAGGATATTTTTATTGCCTTAAAAAATCGATAGGTAGTAGTTTGAAATTCACAGTAAATATTGAAAAAATCAGATGTCTTGAGTTCTCAACTTTAATCAATTTCTTCTGGTATAGCTGATTTTGGCAGTTAAAAGAATGAAAAAGACTTCTTGTAAGAAAAGTTTAGCTGAATATAGACAGACACTTGTTTAGAGGTTGTTGTTAATCGTATCCTTTACGTTACAGGATAAGTCAGATACAAAATTAGAGTTAAATCAATATCCTTCCACAGTTCTCTCTATTTTTTATGACACCAAAATCTCAGTTCATCCCAGAATAGTCTTGATAACTCGACATTACCATCCGTGATTTTTAAAAATTATATATGTAGTCCTACTTCCACTTTTTTAAACAAAATTATTTTATTAGTTTTTCAAATGCTAAATTTGTGAACTCCAGTTGCTTAATTCAACATTTGACCAATTATAGTTACCTGAAAGGAAGGTTATTTGTTTTGGAAATTCAAATGATACTATCTTTAAGGTGGGGAGCTTACATCAAGTTTAAATTAGGTTCATTGGATTTTGTATTAATGGAAAGGTTTAATTAATAGTAAAAATATTGTTTATTCAGTTTTAAATACAAAAATAGTTATATGAGTTCAGCAATAGGTGTGTGAGTAAATTTCTATACAAGTTTATACATGATGCTATCATAAAAGAATCAAGCAAATTTATTATACAAAATGTAGAAACATATCACATTATATAAATTGGCATTTATATTTCATTACAAAAATAAAATCTATATGCGTAATCTTCTCTGATTATTCATGGAATATTCTTTTTTTGATTTATGTTTTTTCGGAAGTTTACAAATTCTATCAGTTTCCATTAGGAATTTAATTGGTGAACTTTGGAATAGTTCACGCCTTGCTCTTCCTTCAAAGCTGTTGTCAATGCTTCTCCTGTTTAACCTTTTGATGGAAGAGAAAGTACTCTTCACTCTCACAGGTACTGCCGATGTTTTGTGAAAAGTTGGTGTGGAGCAGAATATTCTGCTGAAGTCTAATAGCATTTCATTTGTGGCCCCGATTTTAAAACATCTGAAAAATATTAATAAATTAATTTTTTTTTTCATAGTAGAAATAATTAACTCTAATTAATTTTAGATTAAAGATAACTATCGTGAATAAAAAAAAAAAATTGGTTCTCATTGGTTTTTTTATACGTTAGGTATATAGTTTGGTAATGTGATTTATTATTATTTTAGTCTAGAAGGGTTGTATTTTTTAACAAATAAGCGCTTTATCAAATTACATCCCTTTTCCCTCTTGACATTCGAGTTTAAATCTTAAGAATTCAAAGGCCATTCAGTGAAAGTGGTCTCTAAACTGTTTAAGAAATCATTTTAAAAGTTTGATCCTGAAATTATTTTAAACTTCTATCCATATTTCTTATTGTTGGTACCATAAATTATTTTATTCTCAAATAATATTTAGTAAATAACGAAATTGGTAATCAAATGAGCTAGTATATGAAAAAACAAATTTTAACATCCTTCAAAGTACCTTAAAATACATATATTTTTTAAGAGGGAGACCTTCCTTAATTAAATAACTAGTTAAGAGGAAAAACCTGGCGGTTGAGCAAAATCTTGAGCCTGAACATCTCTTCGTGTATATGTACAGATTATATATATATATATATATATATCTACTCTATTTTTTTTTTTTCGAGTATATTTAAATAAACATATACAGTTTATTCTAATAGGTTATATATTTTCACCATAGGTTTAAATTGTATTGCTATTTTACAGTAATCTGATTCTATATTTTGATCTTAAAGTTATTTAAAATGTAATTTTTTTTATATTCAACTGTATATAAAAAAAAATCTTATACACTAAATTTTAATGTTAGGTAATAAAATAAATAGTTAGTTATAATAAAAACAGTAAATAAATTAATATATTTTATTTATTTATAAGTTATAAATATATTATTTAACTCTCTGAATGACCCTAATATCCATAAGGCAATGCTTGCTTCAGGCCCATTGGTTGTTAAAGAAACCTCCCTTTAGAATTTATTCATTGTAGTAGTACTGCTAGGTGTTAGAAATCAGATTTAAATTACTTTAAATTAAATTAAATTTTGTCAAAATGTTGAAATTTATGTTGGAAAGTTTTATTTTCAAATTATGTACTTAATTTTTTTATGGTAGATATACGTTAAAAAATAGAAATATGAAACCAAAAAAAAAAACGTGCCTGGTATTGTTATGAAAATGTTTACTTACCTCTGAAATATGAGTGCCAAATCCATTATGATAGTCCTAACAAGGTGCCTTGTCCACCTGGAAATCATATTCTTAAGATATCTTTTAAAATACATGGTCGTTTGGTATCGCAGAGTCGTTGAACAAACTATTTACACCCTTCTTGCTGCTTCCACGACTCCCAACTTGCAACTGACAACCCCTAGAGGTAGGACAAGGGCTACCTGCCCTTTTGTAGGAGGGTAAGCAGGCACAATACTTCAACCCCCCCCCCCCCCTCGCCTCAAGTTCAGGGGGTTATCTCTTTTTCTTCTTTATATCTCTTTTTTTCTGTTTAGGGACGTGGGAGTTTCCTAACTGTCAGTCGGATCTTTGGAACTTTAAAAATCTCGAGAGTTAAAACTACTATTATAACATATGTCTGCCCAGTAGCGATGTATTGTAGACGTAAGAAAATGAGTAATTATTTCAATAATGAAAACTGGTCAGTCTTATTTATTTCGTGCAGTGTATAGATCGTTGAAACAATGTGTATTTCGGCCTTTACACAGTGATCTATTAAAAGTTTCATTCATCTGATTTATACATATAATTTCATCATGAGTTTTCAAAACCATTATGCTTTCTGTGGTCCTTTACGAATGCTTAGCATGTATGTTTATAATAAGGGATTAACTACTCTTAAGGTTTTTGAAAATTAAGGATTTTTTTAAATATTTGGACCTAAGAGGGACTAGCCTTTCGGGAAATTTAGACGGCTATACAAAACCGAATTACTTGAACTTTATACGGTATTTATAAAGGAGATAATAGTTTTTTTATCAATAAAAAAGGTTTTGAAATTGTTAGGCTTGGTAGCGAACGAATCCTTAAAAGGTTAACGAGAGCTGTACCGATTGGTTAAGTCAGTGCCGGCCTTAGATATTCGGCGCCCCCGGGCAATGACGTCATAATACATTTGCTTTGTTGTTATGCCAAAATTAATTATTTTAACACGTTTTGTATTTTTTTTTTCCTAACAAGTGGCGTGCGCCCCCAACGGACGCCCTGGGACAATTGCTCAGGTTGCCTTAGCCTAAGGCTGGCACTTGGTTAATTGTACCGGATGTAAAACTAATTTCGAATTGCTGATCCTGGCTGAATGTATATAGACCGCGATTGTTTATATCAGCATCGAATCTTCGGGTTCGCTACGCCTTTTATTATTAATATTTTTAAATACATCTTTGAGGAGTGCCCTAAAATTTACCCATAATGCACTAGCGGGTCCAGAATTTAATTTTGTGGGGAGGGCTTCAACCCGAAAGCTTTTTTTATAGGTATAACAATAGTTACTTCGGAAGAAGAAAGAAAAAAACTAACTACATTTATGGAAAGGTGCTTAAATGATCATTGAAGTCGTATTAAACAAACAATAATGATTTTAGAGATATTTTTTTATAAGACATGGTTATATTTTATCCATTTTTTGGAGGGTTGGGGGGAGGAACTTCATTTTGTGGATTATTATACATAATCATAAAAACTAACCATTTGAAATTAATTGTAAACTTTAAAAAAGAATGTCATGTTAGTGCTAATAACCATCCAACTTAAAATTTTAAATTATAATATATTTTTTCATTGTAAATGTCTTTTATAATTGTATCAGTTTTGTTTATATTTATAGAAGAGCTATTATATATTTTTGTAAAAGTGTCTCCTCCAAATAATATGATTCGATGCACAAGATAATTGTAATGAAAATATAAATTTTTATGTCGCTTTATATCGTTACTAACGGTTGTTACCAGAAGTTCGTATGTAACAATTTTACATTTTGTAATCTGCAACTGCTGTAAGTAGTCTACTAAGTATGAAAATAGGAGAAGGAAATAAAATATGAATTTATACTAATAAACTATATAGAAATAATAGGTTTTTATGTTTTTCTATAAAGAAAACTCATTTTTGCGATAGAAACTACTTTTTGCACTGACAGTTGTGATGTGTTCTTCAAATTTGTGCAAGTAGAACTACTTTTTAAGAAATTATTTTAAGCAATTGAGAATGTTTTCTTCCGCCTAACAATAGGTTATTGCTGCCCGTAACTCTACATTCAGCCGATATCCTTTGTTGGCTAATAAACCTCCCCTCATGCCAGACGGCCTGTCTGGACCGCCCACCCAATTCTACTGCCGGCTAGGCCCCTGTAACTATAGATTCCTCTTTTTTCACTTTTAAAGTCCTTAAAACAAACGTTTGTTTCCAAATTCACAAATACTTAGTTCCACCTGATTCCGGACAGAACAGCCCATAGCATTTTAAAACATGAAATAAGATAGCTTTAAATTCTTTATAGTCCAAGGTATTGGTATTTCATAGTCACTTGCCTGAAAAATACAGAAATGATCTGTCACATACATTTTGGCGATAAAATTTTTCTTCAATTAAAACTTTACTCATCGCTAAAAAAATCTTTCGATGAAGACCATTGGTGTAATGGCCAAGGAGCACTTTGTATCTATCCAATCTAATTTTTTTTTAGGAAAGTGGTTAGCCTTCGTCATGTCATTCTTCGAAATGTACCCACCCTTAAGCACTAGCGGATCCAGGATTTAATTTTGGGGGGAGCTTCAGCCCGAAAGCTTTTTTTTTTCATAAAAATAACGATAATTACTTTGAAAAAATAGAAAGAAGCTAACTACCTATATGAAATGGTGCTTAAGTGATTCCTTTAACTTTACAAATGTAATTACACGAACAATAATACTTTCAGAGTTGTTTTTAAATTTTTTTTTCTCTATAAAACATGGGTTATATTTTACCATTTTGGGGGAGGGGGCTTCAGCCCGAAAGCCCCCACCCCGTAGATCCGTCCGTGCCCTTAGTCATTTTTTATTATGCCAGACATTGATCTGAGAGAGCTTCCCGTTCTCCGAGACATGATTTGTTGTTTTCGAATGGAATTTCTCCTGATTCGAACAGCTTCGCCGGTTTCATTAAACGGAAGGTCTTACAGCTAGAAACCACTTTAAATTATACATATTCCTCGCCTGAATACATAACGTTTCATTTAACGAGAAAACTGACGGCTGAAAATTTGATGAGATGTATAATAACATGTGCCCTTAAAAAAGAAAACATCTTGATTGTCCGTCTACGTAGTTGTGTTTCGAAAAACTGACTGTTCCAAAAGTCACTAATTTGTGCGGTGTATTTAACTAAAAGACACGCTTGGTACCGAGCTAAAATACGTAGTGAACCAATCTAAAACAGAATTCGAGATGACTGACGACTAAGTTGTTGCAATTTTAAAACTGACTCGAATTTTTAATTTGGGTTGAAATAGTTCAACGAAAACCTTACGGCAGAAAGAAGTCACGTTTGAAGATCGAAAACAATGAAGTCAAATCGTACCAACTGACCGCTTAAATCGGTTGCAATTTATAACTGACGCCCCTAAATTTATATAATTCGTGGGGTGTATTTAACTGAAGAACTTACGCTTGGAACTGGGCTCAAAATACGCTTCGAACCAATCTAAAATAGAATGTGGGATGACTAAAACATTAATCTTTGTAATTTTAACAACGCACACAGCTCTAAAGAAGCCCTGGAAGTCATTGGAAGAGTGGAAAGAGGTCATCCCTTTCCTCAATGACGGTTTGTTTGGTGGGATGTTTGCTTTGATGGCACCACAAAGCTCCATTTTTGTGAATAAGGTGTTATAACAGCCGCCCACTGTTTGCTGGAAGTCATTGGGTTTTCCAGCAGGATTCCGCTCCAGCTCATAAGGCCAGGTCAACTCAGCAGTGGTTGCAAAAGAACATTCCAGAACAGTTCATCTCTACCTCGGATTGGAACCCAGGAAGCCCTGATCTCAACCCACCAATCCGATCTCAACACACCAATCCGATCTCAACTTGGAAAGCCTCAAACAATCTCTGGTCCTGGCAGTTGAGCACTTTCAGGAAGTGCTGCGTGCTTCTATTGATAACTGGCCGCAGTGAGATTTTTATGAGATTTTGAGTAATTTATTTTTTGTTTTACTCTCTATAGATATACATTTCATATTCTAATAAAGTTTTTGAAAAAAATAATTTTTTTGTTGAAATCTGTATGTTTCCTAGCAACAATATTTATGACAGCACTAGGTGTAGATTTAGATGTGTAGAGAATTAGAGCAATATAATAATTTGTTTTCTATTTATTTAGAAATATAAAAATCTGTCACGTCGACAATAATTATAGTGATATATGAACACATTCACACCAGTATACAATAATAACGAATATAATAGAAATTATTTTTGTCTGCCAATTCTCGAAATTGTAATTATTAATCGAAATTGTAATTATTACTGCCAATCGAAGAAAATGTAATTATTAAAAACTTTCTTTCCCAAGACTTAATTGTATAACGGAGCAATCAAGAGTTAGCTAATTAAATACAGTAAAAAAACATGAGGTTAAACATTTGTTTTCCCACATTAGCGATAGCTGAGGACGGATATCTCAGGAACCAAGCGATGTAGCGAATAAAGGTATATAATCAATCATATTGGACATTTTATCAGTTGTAAATTGTATGGAACGTCTTTTTAGATGCGATGGATAGTTTTTCTGACATAAACGAGAACACGAAAAAAAGTGATTTATAGTATTATAGTTTACGTCCCTACTGGTCTAAATAATGTCTCAAAGTCAAAAATTGTGTCGCCGCCATTTCCTTCTATAATACCACCTTTTCGAGCATTCATTGACTGGACTAAATGGGTTACTTTGCACCAGTTTTTGGACTTTTTGTAATAATCCTTTTTTTGCCGATTTATTTATGATTCAGAAAAGTCAGTAATTTTACCTTAGTATTCCTTCCGAATGAATTACCCATCGTATCTGGCGCTAAACGATGAAGAAAAGGGAAAGGGATATCGCATTTTTAGTGATTTTTTGTTTCAATTTTACTTTGACATACCGAATAAAAATAGGTCTATCCATTTTAGAGAACACTAGTTGGCCTATGCAAATGATTCGCATTGTGTATCGGTCAGTGAACAATTGGCAATAAATATCATATAGAAATCAGTCAATCAATATATTACGTGATAAAAGAAATAATTTTCTTTTTCAGTTAAATCACGGTAGTTAATCATAATAAGAAACCAAAACATGAATACATTACTATAAGCTGCGTCTTGGCTAATAATAGTTCGATTTTGATAA